ACATAACCGACCTTTGTTTCACTGGAGAATCTCTTGGAATGGGCTTCTTGGCCGACATTCCCCTCTTGCCCTTGGGATTCGAATTCTTGGCCTTGTGAGTTTGATTGTTGGCCTTCTACGCGTTCCAGTCACCATTGTTTGAACGTGACCTTGAGGGGTTTCTTTTGGAGTATCTCCCTTTTGGCGCGTTTTTCCATCCTTGTGCGTAGTAGGGAACGTATGCACGATTTGGACAGTTTCGGGCAATGTGACCAGGTGTTCCACAGTGAAAACAAGTATTTTTCTTCACTGGAAAATTGTTTCTACCTGCCCCTGGTGGCGTATCCCTACTTTGTCTCTTATTGTTCCCACAAGCACAATTACAACATGCACTTTGTTTCACTGGAATTGGTGGCCTGTATTTCTCAACAGCAGGTTGATCAGAAGCAGCTGAGTTCAAAGCAACAGATTCAGAGCTCAAGGAGATTTTGGTTTATTCAATGGTGTTCTCCTTGTTTTTATCCTCTGCTACTTTACCTACACATAAAGTAGAAACATTAGTATTTTCAACTTGAATACCTCCTGACACAAATCCAACTAGTTTGCCATATTGTAAGAAGTGTCTCCCTGTTAATTTCTTCTTGTGTCATGGGGTTGGATGTGTAGTTATGATTTAAAGGTGGAGGAACACTATCATACCCTAGACCTTTTTGCTGGTTATTTTTAAATTGCAGACAATGATCTATCATGTTTGCAACTACTTCGCTTGACACATCAAATTTTTTAAAATCAAAATCTACAGTTTCAAATTTGCCTTTTAATGTGTCAAGCTCAGCAGTTAATTCAGCAAGTTGCCTCGTAACATAGTTATAATTTTCACATTTATTTCTATAATCTTCCTGAAGCTTCCTAAAGTCTTTGGTTTTTGCATCTATTTCAGCCTTCAGGGGTTTCTGTCCTTTCCTAAGTTGATATCCTTCGTATTTTAGGTCTTTGACTTCCCTTTTTAGCAAATCATTATGTTCACGAAGAATGTTAATCGTAGTTTCACATGATTGAGAGCTTGAAACTTCATTGACCTGAGTATTTGCGGAACTCATTGTTTTTCCACACTTCAAAGCATCAAGTTCTTCAGTTATAGCAGCAAGACTAAGATGATTAAGATCTTTTGTCTTCTTGCTGACAGCCACGTTCACATCCCACGACTTCGGAAGTGAATTCAGCAGCTTTTTGTTTATCTCAGATTTAGTCAAGAAGATCCTAGCTATATTCATCTCAATAGTAAGTGTAGTAAATCGTTGCAACTAAGCTTCTAGGGTTTCTCCAGGCATATAATTGAACATGTTGAAATTTTGTCTTAACATATCCTGCTGATTCTCTTTCATGTCTTTGTTTCCTTTGTTGACCTCAAAAGCCATTAAAAACACAACTAGAAGCCAAAATCAAACTTAAAAATTAAACCCTTTGACTACAAACCTCAAAACTCCACCTTAAAAGTCAAATTTAAAAGGTCAAACTCAAAAGTCAAACTTAAAAGTCAAACCGAAAAGCTAAATTTGAAATTTTAAAAGTTAAATGAGAAAGTCAAAAAAATTTAAAAGTCAAAGTTACAAATCTAAAAAATCAAAATTAAAAGTCAAAAATTAAAAATCTTTTTATTTATTTATTTATCTATTTTTTTATTTTGGAAGAAAAAGGAATTTAAAACTAAAAGAAATTGAATTTTTGGGTTAAAAGTGTAAAAATTGGGAAAGTGGTGCGACACGGAGTGTTTATGAATTAAAATCGAAAGGTTTGTATCAACAGGTAGCTTAGCTGAGTTGGTTAAGGAGTTAGACTGATGAATCAAGGCACCCGGGTTTGATCCCCAATACCCCCAACTCCGTTTTAAGTGTGCGATGCGAGGACGAGGTGCGAGGCATGAGACCGAGGCTGCTGAACGAGGCGAGGTGCGAACTGTAAACGCTGCTGGACCGCAAACTCGGACCGTACACATGTGAAGACCGTAAATCGAGGAGGGTCGTAAACTCAGGCCGTAAACTCTGGAAACCCTAGTTGTTGGCCGTAAACTCCGCCACCCCCTTGCTGCTTACGACCAAAAACAACGATTTTTGCCCCTTTTTGCTCCAAAACTCGATCAAAAACATGTTTTTATGAAAAACGTGAAGAAACCCCCCCCCCCCCCTAATTTTCAGACATCTATCCAAAAACGCAAAAATCTTTCGAAAATAAGATCAAATAAGCTCCAGATCTGACAAAATTGACAGATACAATCCAAGCTCTGATACCAATTGTAAGTCCCCAATCTGCTTGTGTATCAATCAGATCCGTTTGATGGTGCGTAATCCCAATCAAACAGATGATGTCAAATCAAATAGAAGAGAAGGAGAAGAAGAAGATGATGAATGTTGTATGTATTGATATGAATGAAGATCCGGATACAAGATTCACACACACTAACGCACACTCTCTTTTCTCTCTCTCTAGAACACCTTCAAATGCATACACTTAAGCTCCTATATTCTATTACAATTATGCACTCCTTGATAGGTTTTGGTCATAAGAACATCCTATGTGCTCATACAAACCCTAATGCGTGGATCTATGTTTCTCTATTGTACATGCAATTCATCCAAGACTATAAACCCTAGATCTAATATATGATAATCAATATAACATATAAATTAGGGTTTAGATCATTCCTTGATTGTTATGTAGCAATAACAATCCCAAATCCTTCTTGTATTGACTTTAGAAAGCTTAGAGTCACAAATGTCACTCCTCTAATGGTTCACAAACACCAAGAGCAATAGGATGAAGAGGATAAGAGAAGGAGACACTAAAAAATGTGTAGAAACCCTAAGGATTTTTTTGCCCACATTTTTGGTGCCCAATGGGTCCTTAAATAGTGAGGCTATTAAGGTTATCTAACAAGGAAACCCTAATTTGGATGCTTAGGCCCTAAGCAACCCATGAACCCCTTACTTAAAGGCCTTTGGACGATTTCTAATGGGTTTCCTTATAGAATTCGTCCACCCCCTTTAATATGGAGTCCATTACCTCAATATTCAACTATTATACAATTAACAGTTCAAGTCCCTTAAGTTTAATTAATATCTTTTAGCCACAATCTTAATTCTTATTAATTCTTGACTAATATTAATTAAACAATATGTTTTCTCCTTTAATATATTATTCTCATAATATATTAATAAATCATATTTAATCATTTATCTCCATATATCATTCTATCAAGTTGCTTTGGTGAAGGCAACCTAAAAGGACCATGCACCATCGGGTCAAGTACATACCAAAATAGTTATGGACTTAGACACTAATCCAACAGTCTCCCACTTGGATAAGTCTAGTAACTATTTCGCGTATGACTTCAGATCCTGATCTGCAGTCGTAGCTTTCCAAAGCCGTTGTCAACTCTGATCTTATCAGATACGCGTGTCCTTAAGATAAGGGATCATATATTCCTCCATTCTAGATGTCGTATAGACTGAGACATGGATTTAAATCATTCTCTTTGTCTATGTGCTGTTTCCCGAATTCTGATTTATGACGACTGACAACAGACTACAATTGAACACATCAATTTAGTCCCGGCTTGGCCAAGCTCTTAGATGCTATCACTAAATCATCGAGGGGCCCACATATCTCGCTTTTATCCTACTTTGGATAAAATGAACGGATAAACTTTGACTCAATGCTCGCTTGCACTTACTCACCAAATCACACACAACAATATGTTTTATAACTCCGAGTTAATGATGCGTTTACATATTGTCAATGTGCAATCGACTCGCAAGATACAACTCACACATCTCGGTTTCAAGAATATAAGATATTGTCGTCTCACCAATCACTCGTGACAAAATCCATGAAGTGATCCAAGTGAGCGTGGTTTAATCCAATGCTCAAATCATATTCACAAGCACTCATGAATGTTGCAGCAAACATTTGCTTATGTCTAATGCTCTTTAGACAATCCACACACCAATTCACAATAGTCTTCAATCATACCTACTTCCAACATATGAACGACTGTGGTCCGTTCGAATAATTTGATTGTTCTAAACCTATTAAATTATTCAGGAAGTCAAAACATGCAAGGTGAAACACAAGGATAATACTAATCCCATATGGCCTCAAACCTTTGAGTATAAATAAAACACCTTCTATTTATCACCATATCGATTACTCATTATTCAAATAAAGTATCAACTCTGAAAAAAATATTATTATTAGTATTATTTGAATTTTAAGTAAAATTTCAAGAAACTATCCGTTTTACTATTAAAAAATCCAATTTTTAATCCTTTTTTTACCAAAATAAATACCAACTATCTTTATTTCTCACCACTATCACTACTAGAAAAACAGTCTTTTACGATGCTCATTGCGCGTCGTAAAAGGCTCAGACGACACGCAAATGCGCGTCAAGGAAGACCCTGTCATAAAGAGAGACGACGCGCTTTTGCACGTCATCTATAGACGACGCTCATTTACGACGCGCATTAACGACACGCAATGCGTATCAATGAAGGCCATGTCATAAAGGAAGACGAAACGCATTCATGTGTCGTAAACTTACGACGCGCGTGTTAATGACACGCAATGCGTATCAAGAAAGCCCCTGTCAAGAAAGGCCATGTCATAAATGAAGATGACACACATTTTGCGTATCATAATTTTAAATGTTTAGAAAAATATTATTTATAAATTTACTTATTTTCAAATTAAATTTGTATTTAATGTTTCATAATAGAAAATAAAATATCATATACAAAAAATAGAATCCATTGCATAAATTTAATGTCATACAAATAATCGTTGAAAGATAAAACAAATCAATAGAAGTTGTAACAAAAATTTACAAACGAATTAGATACAAAAAATACAATCCATTGCCCCTTTGCTTATTCAAGATCAACCTGCAAGTAGCTAACTAATTTGTACAAATTCACCCTTGTTTCTAATCCTTTTCTTATATACTTTACAAACATAATTCATCCATAGTACCTGAACTATAGTTGCAGCCTTGTTTCTTCTTCTTCTGAACTCATCTCTTGCAACCATTGCTCTAAGCCTAGTTTGAATAGATACAACAGCTCCTTGTCAATTATGTGAAAAATACAACCGGAGAGTGGCCTACCTTCATAATAGCAACAACTAACGAAGCAGGAATGAAAGAGAAGGCAATACTCACAATAATAGATGTAGTGAACGCATCTAGGTCCTACAAGATCATACAAATCACTATTTAAATACACACTACATATAAAGGTGTCAATATTCTGATTGCATGTACTTAATATATAAAGACTCCAACAATAAATAGATATGTTATGTTACCTTGAGACACCTTTTAAGGGGATCCAAAAGATAATTACTATTTATTCTTATAACTCAAAGCATTTAGATAAAATTGTATTATATAATACTTAGAATCTTTTTGTCGTGTAACTTCATAAAACAACAGTTATACACCCACCCACCATACTATTCATCAATCGTCTAGTTCTTTTTTACTTAAATCCTAAATTTTTATAAATTGTTACCTCAAATATGATTTCATCTTTCTCCACAGGTGAACGAAGTTCTGTGTATATCTTTATATATCTTCTTAGAACCTATAAGTGTTGAACCTGATCAAAAAAATGTAAACATTGAAGATGGAGAATTGAATTACAATTTACAAACCAATTTAGCAAACTTTCACCGGTGACTAAAGCTACTTTCCCGCTGATCTGTCAAAAAATGCTTCATCTCAAAGAGAATGAAGGGATCTCAAAAAGAATGAAGGGCTCTTTCACAGTCTCAAAGAAAATTTTGGCCCTGTAAACAGGTCCAAAATCACCCTCCCTGAGCTTAGTAGCTTATTTGCAGGACTAAAGTCATATGAAAGCTCACAACTACAACCGGAACCAAAATCCATACAATCAAACCAATATTACTCTTCTTGTTGTTAAAAGGTGGATTGTTGCTCACGGTAGGGACGAAATCTGTAAAAAAAAAAGTAAAGGGGGTTTTCTTGTCATTTTGTCAATCAAGAGCAAAAATTTAAGAAAAAACAATTTCATGAAAGAATTTTACTTGGTGTAGCACTGATTTCTGAGATAAGAGGTCCAAAATCTCCTTGAGTAGGTACACAAGTCCCTTTTCCAGTCCATAATAGATGAATCTCAAGGTAGTTATTTAAACCTCAACTGTCACTTCCCTTGAAACATGACTAAATGAACCCCCCTGCTTCCTTTTTAATATTAAAAACTTGAAAAACTCGGTTTCCCTGAATAGTGCCCGATAACTTCAACTAATTCAGGTTCACTCCACTTTAAAGAAAGAAGTTGTTGAAGTAGACCTAAAGTTCATAGTAAATGGTGTGTTAAAAGATCTCAGAGTGTACAGATAGTAAAAAAAGTATAAAAAAAGAACCTTCTAGAATTCTGCAAGAAGAAAGTTAACCATTATAGCCATCTAATGATTATAAAAAACCAAAAATGAGCATATTTTCCCCTTTCTGGCCATACTTTTGGGTAGCTGCAGGGTAGTCTCCATATGTGAATTTTGGTGAGTCTTGCATGGTTGAACCATAGCCACTTTGCCCTTCTAACATAGAAGGTCCAGCTCCTTTGCTACTTGTAGCTGGAACCTGAAAAGATGACATTTAAATTTATTGAAGCATAATCTAATTCAACATTCTTAACTAATAATTTGATTCTGAACATTTTAATTTAGGTTGAAAGTTTTGGATTCAAGTCTGTCATATCCATCTAATATAATGAAGAGGTGTGGATTCAATATAGGAGCAGCCCTTCTGGTCATACACGAACTACTGCATCTAAATCAATTAAGTACGTGAGAAGAGCACAAGAACCAAAATAAGTCAACAACACATTCAGAAATGAAAAAGATGTTCTAACTTGATATATACCTGCTCTCACAACCACTTCAATTCCAGATATATACCTGCTCTCACAATTATCAGAGAATAAACTTAAGGATAATGAGCTGATGAAAGTTCCGAATAGTTAGGTAAATTCACAGGTATTTATATATGCCTGTGAATTTCGCTGCCACTGGCAATAAAGGTGCTATTGACCCCACCAAAGCAAGAACGAATGACATATTTATGTTGCCTATGGCCCTTATATCTCAAAGGTTTTTCCCATAACCCTTCAACATCCCACGTATGAATCTCTTGTATAAATTTATAAGCTCAAGTTTAGAGTAACTAAGGATGTATTCATCACATCCGGAAAAACCCTAAGTATACACACCTCATTCATTTTGTCTTTCATGCATTGGTCTGTTACACATTTTTAAAGTGGTAAAATTAAAAAATCACTTTGGATAAGTCAACAAGAAATAATACAGAAATCATGCAAGAAACATCATGACCTCTCTCTTTGTGGGATGCACGTTAACATCAACATGCTCGGGAGGCAAGATAAGTGGCATATATATATATATATGAAAGGTTTTGATGCTTTGGGTAAAGTTGCAGCATAGATGATTTCAATTTCCCTCTTCAGAGCAGTACATTCGACTAATCATTCTGTGAAAAAGTGAGGAAAAGTTAGGTTATAATTAAAACCAAAATATCAGGAAGAATGTCAATAAATTTGCACAAGTCAAAATTCAGAAGTTCAAGGGTGTCAATTATCACTCAACCACACTAATGAAATAAGTGCTAGAGCATATTCACTTTTTCTTTGTTTTTTTTTTTTTTTTTTGTTACTTGTGTGTGGTTTCTCAAATTTAGAGGGGAAGGGTTTTGATGGTTATCAAAGTTGTGTGATACATAACACATACCATTGATGAAGAGAACCATGGTAGTCTTCTTTTCAGAGTAACTAGAATCAGATAATGGATATGTACAAGACATCAAAACCAATATTAAAAAATGTATGCAGTATGCCTCCCAAAATTATGGAACAAAACAATTATTAGTTTCAGATGCATGCAAAACAATTAGTTTAACTACTCACCTTTCTGCAGGAGAAGCTCACATTTTTATGATGAATGGCAAACCGACAAAGTAGGTCAACAATTTTTGGATAATCATCAGCAGAGTTCTGGAGAGTTTTCCTTCGTGCAATCATGTTATAAAATAAATTCTCAATCTGGTAAAAACACACACATCATCTAATCAAAAGGGGAGTAATGTCACATAATAACAGAGATTTAGTAAGATCAAAATTCACCTGTCAATGAAGCTCATTACCATGGAATTCTCATTTTTTTGATTACTAATCACATATGAATGCCAAGTCGCGGAAAATGGAATGAAGCCATTAGGAATGTCAGTTGGGTTGCTCTGCATTAGCAGATATAATTTATTAGAAAAAGGAATCGATCAGCAAATGATTAGAAAAAAGATTGAAATAGATAACTGATTACCTGCATTGGTGTTAGGGCTTGTGTTACCCTTGCTCTTATGCATTTTATACTTGATATTCCTCCCAAATCAATACATTCGTGAAGATACTTTGAAGCAACATATCCACAGTGAACAGGCTGTGCAATAATTTTAAAAAAAAAAAAGACTTGGTGAGCAAAAAAGATTATAAGTTCATGGAGATTTCAAGAATATTAGATTTGAGATTACCTTCTCACAGAATTTGCATTCCCCCTAACCGGGTTCATTCAGGTGGAATCTTTCAAGAATATCAGAATTGTGGATTCTCCATTGGAGCAATCGAAGTGCACATACACATGTTTTATGAAAAACCCTAAGTCGTTGGTGTCTGAAATAAGACTAGTCGATACCTTGTACCAAAAAACCCTAAATCGTTATGAGAGAGGAATGATGCCTGAATCGCTTCGTTGAGAATCACCGATCAAAACCCTAAATCTTCGAGGAGTTGCAGTCTCCATAACATCTGCCGCACACAATAACAGATTCATGAAAGACGGATTATGTATGTTGATCAGGGCGGCATCATATGGCAAGACGGTGGTTCTCATGGAGAAATTTTATTTTGAGAACATGTTGAAGGCAGTGGAGATGGTATCGTCGTCGTGCTGGCCTGAAGAGTCGGGGGTGGGTGAGGGGCGGAGACGATGGAGACATATATTAGAGAACAGATCGAAACGAATGTAGAAGAAGAAAGCGGTGTTTAAAATTTTTGGGGATTTCATTTTCCCTCTAGGAGGAGAAGAGAGACGCGCGTTTCTAAAAAAAAATATAAAACGACATTCATAGAAGAAGCTCATTTTAGATAAAGTGCCCTCCGTGTTTTTAATTTTTTTACATTAGATACTAATTTAAGGGCATGCAATAATGCGTGACCTAAATCCTTAAATTTTTTGAAGAGATAACACTTTTTTAATGTCACTCTCTGTTGTGTAACATAAATCACTGAGTGTCGTGGTTTGCACGTCGTAAAAGGTTCTTTTTCTTGTAGTGTGTCAATCCTTTGAATACTGGATCTTTTTCTTAAGATTGTAAATCTAAAAATTAAACAACTAAGACCAGAAAAACGTTACATAAATATAAAATGAAGTAGCAACTACATTCTATTAACCTTGTTAACATCTTGTGAAACACCATGCCGATAATTTAAGGCAATCAAAGCAGAAAATCTTCAATGTGGCATTTTGTCGAACACGTTGTGTGCAGTAAGAAAATGTTAATGTTGCCATAAAAAAAATCAAAGTATGGTTGTAAATTAGTCAAAATTTGGGAAAAAATAATAAAAATCAAATAATTCTCATGAAACTTTACCTTTTCTAACTATAGGAACCACCGCCATCCTCTAATTTATTGTTAACCTCAATTGGAATTGATTTAATTACTTGACTAAATCATGATCTGAAATTTGATGAACAAGTATGGGCCTTACCTGAGGCCGACGCCTTGTAACAACATATGGAGATCAGAAATTAGAAAGCAATGAAAGAAATACCAAAAAAAACTAGAACTCTGTGTGTCGGATCTTCCCTCATGAGTGGGCCGATGGTATGTCGGTCATCAGCGGCGAGAAATGAAAGCAAACGGGTGATGATCACCACCAACCTTTACTTGAATTATCGGCACTAGCTAGACATCGGACTGCCACAACTTTTTATCGGTGGAATTCGGGAGAGAACATGATTCACCAACCTATGACTATGCATGGTTAAGCCCTCAAGCCTACAACAACTGGAGGCGAGAAATTAGAAGGGTGAAGACGGTGGTCTGAAGTTGCTTAAGGCGGACCCCAGTGGAGGATTAAACGACAGTAGGGAAGGTGAGCAGTAAACATAGAGAGATACAATGTTGAATCGGTGGACATTGACTCGATGGGCACTAATCTGTAAAAGATGGTGGAGGGAGCAGAGGTAGAAGATAAGAAGAAGCTTCGAGGAGGATCTTTATTTCAGGCGGTGGAATATCTCGAAAGTTAAAGGAGCAGATGACTCGTGTACACTAAAAACAGTTCATTTGAAAAAAACCAACAAACAACAAAAGTTCAGGGGAAAAATTAAAAATTGACAGGGAACTAACTTTTAATATAATATATAATTCTTTTGAAATTGTTATTAAGTATTTAAAAAATTATCTCAAAATTTTAGTTATATTTAATATGAAAATTGATATTATTTAAAGCAACGAGTTTTTTTTTTTTTTCAAATTTGGCATATGTTAAGGGATTTCACAAGATATAATCTAAAAAGTTAATAACCTCAAATATACGAAGAATCTAAAATAAACAAATAAGTCGTCACATAGTTGGATGACAAATTTTAACTTAAACCTTAAATAACACGTTGCATGTGTTTTTCTAATATCCCTACATAAAAAATAAAAAATAATGAAAAATAAACAAGTTTAGACAAAATTGCATATATAATCTATAGTTTCTAAAAAATAAATAAGTAGGTCCTGTTGGTTTCAAAAAGTTGTGTGCTTGATCCGAACCATCTAAAATGACATTGATATATATATATATATATATATATATATATATATATATATATATATATATATATATATATATATATATATAGGGTTGGGTTATTTTGTTTTTACTAAGTATTGTGTGCCAGAATGCACAGATCTGGACCAATGGATGAAATTAATCAATGGATATGATTTGAGAGTGTATGATATTACAATGGGGTAACATGTAGCATATAATCACACAATTTTAACCAAAAGGGTATTTTGGACAATTAACTACATTTATAAAAGGAAATTTTCGGATTTTTAGGGATGATTAATTATCCTAATTTAAAAAAAAAAAAATGAATTTTTTAATTAATTCAATTTCAATTTTTTACCAATTTTATTCTGTTAGAATATTTTTTGTTAGAATGATGCTCTTTCAGAATTTTATTCTAAAAGAATATTATTTTGTTAGAATGATAGAATGCAAACCATAAACTAGTAAATATATTTTCGATTTTATTCTTGCAGAATATATTTCCAATGCAAATATTTGATTTGAGACATAAAAAACAAATTCATTCATATTCGTACAGACTAATATCCTTATACATTTAAAATAGTTATACATATTCTAAAAGAATATCATCAAAGATGAATAAAATTCTTAAAAAATAGCATTCTTGAATATACAATTATTGAACAAATACACTTGATCTTCTTCAGTGGTCTGTATAATCCACTTGATCTTCGCATATATACTTGTTGTTGAACTCGATTCCAAATATTTTTCTTGTATAATCAATATTGAATTCCTTCTCTATGCAATTCTGAAAGAATAAGATACATTACTCGTTAGTATTACCCGTTAAACAAATATACAAGTTAACAAACATTCGTAAAGACATTCTAATAGAATACATTTATATAAATAAATTCTGATAGAAAACATTACAAAATGCACTTAAATAACATTCTTTTAAAAATCTTTTGTGAATAATAGGCATCAAATTGATGATTGTTACTAACATCATTCTAAAAGACATTCTGCAAGAATGATTCATTTAAGCTGTAACTAAAAAAAAACATACAATAAATTTTAAAGTACACAATACAACCATTCTAATAGAATGTTGCAGACATTGAAATTCTATCAAAATACATATAAACAATTAACCAAAATTCTATCATAATGCATATAAACAATTAACAATTCTAATAGAATGTGGCAGACATTGAAATTCATTTACACGAGTATCTGAATTCCAATTGAAATTCTTACTAACAATTAACAAATGGTTTATTTTTACACCAAATAACATGATCATAATCAGTAAAAAAACCTAGATTTCAACTATGCATTTTATCGAACACTTGGTGTACTTCTTCAATTTCTTAAAAAAAAATTAGTGAGAGTCTTATCAATTCAGTTTCTTGGTGGTCAACAACTCGAGATACAACTAAAAAAACATGTTATGATTAGTACAAGAGCATACCAATTTAGTTTCTTGGTGGTGTCGTTGACGACCTAAAATCCACTGTTGCCTTTGTTTTCACCTCCTTTTGTAGACTCCACAACAGGCACCAAGAACCTCTTCACTGCCATCTGCTGCTGTTGCTTTTCCCCAATTTCTATTCAACAGATTGATTTAGTTCACACACAAAATCAATTAATAAGATTAGAATCGATTTTGATGACAGATGACTCGATTAGCGATAAACGATTTCATGGAATCAATATTTTCCTCATCCTCCTCCTTCGAATCGGTGAATCAATGGAAGTGCTTCCCGATTTCTGATTCCAATCGTGCTTCTCCTCCTTAATCCGACGAAGATGAGCACAGGGGGATCTTCCCCTTGATCTTCTTTGCTGCCGACGACGGGAGAGGAACGAAGAACCATTGAGTGCCTTCCTTCGCATCTTCCGCCATTGAAGAATTTTTCAATCGCATCTTCCGTTTGGTGAACTAGGAGTGAAAAAGGTTTGAGGATTCTGGAGGTTTTATTAGATACGATTTAAGAGAGAGGCTAGGTCAAATATACTTATTCTATTTCCTTAATTGCAAGATTTAATTAAATGATTTCCTTAATTAAAAGTATAAAAGGTCCAAAATACCCTTAAATGATTTAAATAATTGTTTATTATTTCTTGGATTCTCATTGGTGCATTTAGGCACACAATACTTGAGAAAAACATTTGAACCTAGCTCTCTCTCTCTCTCTCTCTCTCTCTCTATATATATATATATATATATATATATATATACTAGTCGAATGTTTGCGTTGTCGTCAAATTTGATATAATAATTTTTATACTAAATTGATATAATATATTGATTATTTGAATTATATAATAATATATATCTATTATAACTTCATAATCTCAATGACTTCTACCCGCGAGTTACACATAAATAAAATTAAATATAATATATGGTTTAATGTTATTTATTGTTGTTGTTATTGTTAATTATTTTTAAAAAAAAAATTATTTGCTTAATGTTTTAATTTCTATCATTATAATTATTTAAAACATCAAACATTACTTTTTTAATTTTAAAGGTAACAATATAATCATTTATATAGAATTATTTTATGTTGTTATTGTAAGTTATTTTAAACTACTTATTTGGAAACTTTTAGTGATTATAAAAATACATTTAGGAAATATATTGATTTAAATTGAGATTACAATTTAGTTTTTTTTTTTTTAACACTTTTAACTATTCACAAAATATTCTTTGGTTTTTTTAGTGGAACTGAAATTTATATTTAAGTTGACATTGTAATGCGCAGAAACACTTATATAGTTGAAGTCTTTAAACATATATGTTTTTTTTAAAGATAACAATAACGTTGCTGTTAAATTTGATATAATAATTCGTATACCAAATTGATATAATATATTGATTATTTTGAATTATATGATAATATATACATAACTACATAATCTCAACCTTTGAATGACTTCTACCATCGAATTACTAATTAATAAAGTTAAATATAATAAATGGTTTAATGTAATTTATAGTTGTTATAAAAATATCATTAGGAAATGATTTAGTTAAATTGAGATTACAATTTAGTTTTTGCATTT